CTCTGGTGTCATTGCCGTGTGGCTATCTCGCCTTCATGCCCTGACTGTCCGTAAGGTTAGAGACCTCTCCTCTCTCATGATCCCTGCTGGGAACTTATGGTAGGCTCCCATGGCATTTTGTGGGGATACATGGGTATTTAGGGATGTTCAGCAGAAGACGCTAGTGCTACCTCAGCGCCAGGCCCATCAGGAACAAAACAGGATGGTCCCGTTGTGTGTGGTGCTCACAGGCCAGCGGGGTCAGGTGATAGGACAGATGTGCTTTGGACTATGAGGAGAACTAGAGCGAGCTGTGCTCTGTGCTTGGGGACAGCAGCAGGCCAGGGTAGGGGCGGTGGGGTCAGGAAGGGGTGAGCTGGGTGGAGGAGGAGTGGAAGAAGGCAGCATGTCACCCTGGCTGCGCTGAGGGTATGCGCTTCCTCCAGGCTCATCGAGGTCGTTGGTGGGCTGGGGTGAACGCTGAGACCATGGAGACACCATGGCCTGAAACGGGCTGTGGTAGAAGTGGCTGATGGTTAGGAGGCAGGTGGTCCAGGAGAGAGGGGCTGGCCGAGGAGCTTGGGAGATGCCGCTGGATTTGCCATGCAGCGGGGTGCACAGCCATGGCCAGGGGTGTGGAGAGGAGAGGACCTGGTTCTGAGCCCCAGGGTGCTCTGTGCCAGGCAGTGGGCAGAGCTAGAGAGCATCCCTGGGGTGTCCTGGTGCTTTGGTACCAACTGGCTGCTCCTCCCCAGGTGCCCTTCTTAGCTCAGACTGCTTTGTGGGGGCAATGCGGCTTCTGTGGACGATAGGCAGGGTGCTGAGCACTGTGGCATCTCGGTGAATCCCCCCACACTGCCCGTGAAGATCCTGAGGCCTGGGGGCAGGACCACGGCCAGCCTGCCCGCTGGTGTCCCTCAGGACCCAGGCTTTCTGCATGGGGATGCCTTCAGCCATGGCTGTCCTCTGCATAGCCTTGCTGCCCTGCATCCACTCAGAAGTTACCAGGGAGAGTTTGAAGCCTTTACAGACGCAGATGCAGCAAACCCCCTCATGGCCGTCACCACCACAGGTGGTCCCTGCACAGCCAAGCTCGCTCCAGCCCCCTCTGCCCTCCTGGTCATTCTGGAGCAAATCCCAGATGTCCTCATTTTATGTCAAAATATTTCAAAAGGGGCCTCTAACAAGACAGTGCTACCGGGACCCACACCCATGAATTAGTAATCTCTTAGTTATGTTACCATATTACTTGGTTATATTTATGATGAACGATCCCTTAGTTTCTCAGTATGCCAGTGTTTAAAGTCTTGTTTTTTTCCTGTTTGAACGAGGATGTTGATGAGATCCATACGCTGATTCATTGGTTTGTCTCTTAAATTCCGTTCTAGTTTCTCCAACTACCTTTTCATTCGTGCACTCTTTTTTTCTTTGCGATTTATTTGGTGGAGATTCAGGCCCTTGTGGCCCCACAGTGGCACTCAGGGTCATCCTCTGACTCGTGTGTCCCTGTCTCGGGGGCCTGAATCTGGGGGCTTGGTCTCTCCATGTGGCTGCTCGAGTCGTGGTGCCGGCCGAGTGGATGGTGAGATGCTAGGGCGCCCTGCTGGCCTCTCGTGGGTCCACCGGACAGTCTGTACAGTTTAGCTGCTTCCCTTCTCCAGGTTCACCTAGTGGTGTCGTTTCTGTAGGAAAGCCGGGGCAAGAGCTCTCCTCCCCCACCTCGTCCCCGCTTATCTGCCAGGGTCCAGCTAGCCCTGCACCCAGAAGTGCCGGCTTGCGTCTGCCCTTTGCACGGCGGGCCAGAGGGTGTGGTTTCCTGAGATGTGGATGTGACCGTTGTTCCTGAACTGAAAATCCTCCTCTACCTCCAGACAGGGCTCCCCCTCAGCAGGGGCAGCCAAGGCCCTTCTCCCCAGGGTCAGCGCCACCACCTCGCTCCACCCTCCCGTCTCAGCCGCAGCCAGGCTGGAGTTTGGGGGTCCCAGGGATGACACCGCAGCCCTTGCCACTGTTTACCGCTTGAGGCTGCGCATGCTCCTTTCGGGTCCAGCCTGGACGCCCATCCACCTATTGCCCTTCTTGAGCTCACCGGCTCCTGGACATCCTTCCAGCCCCTCCAGTCTGCTCTAGCGTCTCCTCACTTGGTTCACTTGGAAACGGGCCACCTACACACCTCGGGGGAAGGCAGGAGAGGAGTCCTCACAGCTCAGCTTCCCAGTTTGGTGGGACCCACCGCCCCGGGACAAGTGCTTCACCCGGCCACATTCAAGTCCTTAAGGAAAGGTGCATAGAGGAAGTGTGGACTTGGCGAGGGGCATGTCGCGTAGGGATACATTCCGTTGCTCAGAGCAAGTGTCTATCAGGGCTTCCTGGAGGGGCTGGTTTTCTTCCAGGACAAGAAGGCAAGAGATGCCAGGGCCTGGCATCCCTTCATATATGTCCTGGGGTGGAAGCCACCCCCACAGGCACCACCTCTTGCGCTTTGGCAGGATAAAGAGAGGTGGTGAGAAACTTTGTCCCTGCAGTTTTGTTTATGAATTGGGAAGGAAAGCCCTCCCCGGGCCGCCTTCCCTTCTGCCTCCTTATCCAAGCCTAAGTCACGTGTCCCCTCGGACAAGGGGAGGGAGCCCAAGCCTGGCTCAGACGGGTCACGCCTCCCTCCCTGGGGCTGGGGCAGAGACCCACTCTTCTGAGATCGGGGCTTTCCCCACACAAGGTCACTGTCAGCCACACCGGCTGGCCTTGGATCAGGAACCTGTTCACTTGTCTGCCCTGTCCAGACTCGCGGTTCTGGAGGCTCCTTCCTGTGCCAGTGTACCTGGGACTACGGGGCAGGCTGGGGAGAGATGGTATGCTGCAGCACCCTGAAACCCTCAGCCTGTCCTGTCTTGCCGGGACTGAGGGTGTGGTCATGCACCCGCGAGCTTAGGCTGCCAGGGAAAGGGCTGAGAATAAAGAGGGTGCAGAGGGTGCAGAGGGTGCCAGGCCTGGAGCTCTGCCCTGCGTCCCCCCCACTGACGGAGCCCGTGTGACATCTCAAGCTTCTGAGCAGTGTTCCCTCTACTCAGAACCCTTCACAGGACGCCCATACTCCTAGTTATTTTTATCCTGGTGGACAGTTTTTTAACAAAGTGAGTTGCAATTCACCTACCATAAAATTCTGCCTTTTAAAGTGTACCAATTTGGTGGTTTTAGTATATTCACAGTGTTGTCCAATCATCACAGTCTTTAAATTCCAGCATATTTTCATCACTCCCAGAAGAGGCCCTGTGCCTGTTAGAGTCACTCGTGTACCTCCCACCCGTCCCCTGCTACCCACTCGTCCGTGTCTGTCTCCGCATTTGCCTCAGCCTCCCAGAGTGCTGGGATTACAGGCGTACACCATGATGCCTGGCCAACATTTTGAAATTTTTATGAAGTTCACATGATCTCATTTTCTTTAATTGCCTGTACTTTTGGTGTCATGTTATAAGAAATGCAGTGTTGTGACTGATCCCTGTATTTTCTTGGGGGAGCTATGTGGTATTAGTGCTGACGTCCAGGTCTTGGGGCCATTTTAAGTTGTTTTCTGTGTGTGAGTGAAGTAGGGCCACGTCCGTTTTCCCACTGGTGGACATCCAGCTGTCCCAGCACCACTGGTTAAGAGACTCCCTGGCCCCCAGTGTGTGGTCTTGGCACCCTAGTCAAGCATCAGCTGCCCATGAATGTGAGAACATGAACGTGCACCTTTGTTTCTTTTTCTTTTTTAAGACAGAGTCTTTCTCTGTTACCTAGACTGGAGTGCAGTGGTGCAACCTTAGCTCACTGCAACCTCTGCCTCTTGGATTTAAGTGATTCTTCCGCCTCAGCCTCCTGAGTAGCTGGGATTACAGGCGCCCACCACCATGCCTGGCTAATTTTGGTATTTTTAGTAGAGATGGGGTTTTGCCATGTACCCCAGGGTGATCTCAGACTCCTGACCTCAAGTGATCTGTTAACCTCCCAACGTTCTGGCATGAGCCACTGTGCCTTACCACGTGCACGCTATTTCTATAAAAACTTCCCCTCCTCCATGTGACATTAGGGCTTGTTATAGTGCAGGTCTCCCACACTCCCCATCCACTCCATTTTCTTATCAGCCTGATGTCCCCAGTCCCAGGAGCACATCTCCATTTAGTGGGACCTGCAGCTTACATAATTTGGGCCAGGACAGGGTGGGGTCCTTAAGGAAAAGCAGGTGAAATTGTCTTGCTTCGAAACTTCAAGGTTCACAGAAACGCTGCCCCTGCACATGCTGCTGGGCCTCCACAGGAGCCAGTGCGGACAGCTACTGCCCAAAAGCCTGCCTGCCCTGAACCCTCCTGGCCTTTCTGTGATCATCGCAGCCCCTTCTTCACAGCCTTTCCAAGACTCTCTGTGAGCTCCTCACACCCTTGTTCACAAAATCCATCAGCCCCTGCCCCATGCCATGCGAGTGTCCCTGTATTCTGGGGTGGCGAGGGTGCAGGGCGGCACCCAGAGTAGACGGAGCCTCCTGGAAGCTGGCTCATGACCCTGTGCTTTTGCCCGTGTGGGCTCTGCTCTGTCATTTGAGTCTGCGCCCTGTGTCCTGCATCCATCAGGCTTGGCCCTGGCTGCAAAAGAGGCAGGGAGTGGAGGCGGTGAGATTGTGGGCCTCAGAGGCCTGGGGCAGGTCTCAGCACTGCCACAAGTTAGTGTCTTTGCGCCTCAGTTTCCCTATCCATTATTGGCCTTGTGAGGGTTCAAGGGGGATGCACATTTCCCATAACCGTCTGAGAACATGGCTATGAATGAGCTTTATTTCTGCCATGGGGCCTCCAAGGCCCAGTTAGCTGCACATAGTAGGTTGGTTGATTTTGAGTAAGGGCAGGGTAGGAGGCACCCAAGAGAGAAGCAGGTGCAAATACGAGAGAGTGGAGCAGAGGCCCAGGAGAGAGCGGGGGGCCAGGGCCTATGGGGAGCTCTGTCCCTGTCCCACGGTCAGTCCTCCAGTATGGGCCTTTTTGTTTTCTTTGTTCCAGGAGGAGCCAAGGAAAGTCTGCTTCACCTACGACCTGTTCCTGAACCTGGAAGGCAATCCGCCCGTCAACCACCTGCGCTGCGAGAAGCTCACCTTCAACAACCCCACCACGGAGTTCCGGTACAAGCTCCTTCGGGCCGGCGGGGTGAGTGTCCCAGCTCCTGCGCGCCGAGGGGCCGCCCCGCTGACGCCGCTCTGCTGCGGCCCCCTGTACCCAGCCAGAGGTGTCGGTGCTGGGAGCCGAGACCCAAGGTGCAGGTCACACGGAAGTGCCCGACAGAGCTGGAGGGGACCTGGGAGCTCCGCAGCCTGTGCCGGGGTGTGGTGGCTGCAGGTGACTAGTTGCTGGTCACCCTGTCCTTCTGGGTGACCGTGGGTAATTAGCACCTTCCTCCAGGAAGTGCTAGGAAGGGATGGGCACAAGGCCGGTCTGACCGCGTGGCTGTGCCTGGAGCTGGCTTGTAACTAGCCGGGTAGGGCCTCCTCACAGGGCCCCTGCCATGCACAATGCTGTCACCTCCGACTTCGGGAGGCCAGACGACAGCACCAGCTCTGGGGCCAGGGCTCTCCAGGAGTTGCGTGGCCGGGACCCCCATTTGGTGGCTGGAGTCAAGCCCTCCGGACCTTATTGGGGCAGAGCTCCTCACAAGCGTTCTTGGCAACAGGGTGGGCGGGCGCAGGTGCTGGTGGGGGTCGTGGAGGAGGGGTGTGTGGAGGGAGGGATGTGGCAGGCTGAGGCCTGGTCACAGGACAGCAATGCTACCTTCAGGACTCAGGGCCTCAGAGCCTTTGCCTGGGTGCAGGCCTGAGCCTGTGGTGGCGTGGTGTGTGTCGTATGCAGTGTGTGGCATCTCGTGTGTGTGTGTGTATGTGTGTGTGTGTGTGTATGTGTGTGTGTGGTGTATGTGGTATGTATGTGTGGTGTGTGGCGTGTGTGGTGTGTGGCGTCTCGTGTATGTGTGCGTGGTGTGTGTGGTACGTATGTGTGGTGTGTGGCGTGTGTGGTATGGGGTAGGTGTGGCGTGTATATGTGTGGTGTGTGGTATGTACATGTGTTATCTGTGGGGCGTGTCACGTATAGTGTTTGTGGCGTGTGTCGTATGGGGTGTAAGTGGTGTGTGGGGGGTGTGGCATGTGTCGTGTGGTGTATGTGGTGTGTGTATTTGTGTGGCATGTAGTATGTCCGTATGTTTGATCATGTATGGTGTGCGTGGCATGTCACGCATGGGGTGTAAGTGGCATGTGGCGTGTCACTTGTGGAAGTGTGTGGCATGTGGAATGTACATATGTTGTCTGGTGTGTGTGTCATGTATTGTGTATCGTCTGGTGTGTGTGTCATGTGCGTGGTGTGTCATGCATGGGGTATAAGTGGCGTGTGGCCTGTCACGTATGGTGTGACGTGCGTTGTGAAGAGTGTGAATGTGTCACAGGTGTATGTGTGGGGTATCTGGGTGGGGTGGGCCGCCACCTTGGTGAACTTGGGGCACCGTGGCTATGGGTGTCGGGCTGGGGAGCCCCCATTCCTCCCTATGGAGCACGGTCCTTGGTGGGCGTCGTTCTCCTAAGAGAAAGGAGGCTCCTGTCCTTGTAGAAGCTTGAGTGAGTCCTGCCACAATCCTTGTAAAGCCCCGCTTGTCGCTCTGATCTGGCCGGGCAGGGCGGTGCCGGCGTGGGTTTATGTGGACGGTGTGACTGAGTACGTGTGGCTGGGCCCCAGCGCCCTCCTGGCTCCGCGTGGCCACCTTTCTTCATGGCCAGGTATTTTCTCTGTGTTTGCAATAGGTGTTTCTGGGTGTCCCTGGAGGTTCCATGGTGGCATGGCTTTGGGAAGTGGTGTTCCCTGGGTCTCTCTGGGCTGCGGCCAGGACCTCACTCCCTGTGGGAGGCAGCTTCCTTTGCTCGGCAGTGATGAAGGTTCTGAGGGCATCGTCTCAACACATAAAAGCCAGGGGCGGGGAGGAGGCACTGGGGAAGGTTGGGAGGAAGGGCCAGTCAGGAGAAGGGAGCGCAGGCTGCAGCAGGTGCCTTAGGGGGTGGTCTCTGCCCCAGGCACTGGGCGCTCTGCCCTCTGAGGGTGAGCTGCCTGGGGAGCTGGCTGGCTGGGCAGGAACTTTACAGGCCTCTGGGGTTTGCTCTGGGCTGATGGCTGAGTGGGGCTCTCAGCCTTAGGAGCAGCCAAAGGCCTCAATGGCAGGGGCTCTTCCCAGAGCTTCCCGTGGCCGACCAGTAGCAGGTGATCCAGCCCCGCCGTGGAGCTGTTGGTGGTAGGAGACCTGGGAGGAGGGGCTGGTTTCTGTGTCGGTGAGCACTGCTTTCTCTGCTCCTCTCACTGGGGGTCACTTGGAGAGCGGTAATTCAAGGGTGAGAGGGCAGGACTTCCACCGTTCCAGCCTGGTGCCCCTTGGGACCATGCCTTGTCTCTGCTCCCGTGGCCAAGGGTCTGTGTTTCCATCGGGGAGCCTGGACCTCCTGGCAGCACCTTGTAGGAGGTGGGAGTCATCCGTGTGCTCCCTTTCCCAGTTCGTTTTTTTTAAGGGTCTGTGTTGAGTGAGACACTGCGTGATCCTGAAACAGTCTAGAGCGTCGTTTTGAGGGGAAAGAAGGTGAATTCACGCGAGAGTTGAAGGAATGGGCCTGAGAGCGAATGGGGCTCAGCCTCCTGCAAGCCCTGTTGTGCATGGCTGGCCTTCCCCAGCTCCTCCGTGAGCCTGCCTGGTGTGCGTGCCCCAGAGCACGGAGGGCCTCCCGTGGCGTGCTTTGAGGGACGACGGAGGCACACATGCCGTTGGTGCCAAGCTCCTATCGTGGTCATACAGGCTCTGAGAAGCAGCTCAGAGTGGGGACCCCAGGGGCCCGCTGCCCTCTTTTCAGGCAGTTTCCCCATGGCCGCATGATGTCAGCGTCCTTAGATGAAAGGCTTGGCTGACTGGGGAACCCCAGGTGCTCAGGGCTATTAGTGGTGCTGCTTCTCCCGACTTCAATACTTTTTTGAAGTGTGTTTTCTTCCTTTGTTCTCTCTTGCGGGCATCTGAGAAGCTTTCTCCATGGTGGTGGCGTTCCTTACCTTGGAGTGTTGGTGTTTTGAGACCTTGCTCCAAGCTTCCCAGTGTGCAGCGAGTGTTTCCTGGGAGCCCTCCTGGAAGGACCCCAGACCTTTCCTCATCCGAAGCCTCTGTCCCCATGCTGCAGGCTTGCTGGCTCGCTCGGGCCTGCTTTGCAGAGAGCCCCCTCGATGGGGACAGGTCTTCTCCTGCCTTGATCTCTGCCTTAGCCTGAGTGCTCCCGCCCTGTATGGGTCAGCTGCAGTCACCGCACGCCAAAGATAGCTCATTCCCCTGGACATGTGGGACCCACCCGAGCTGCATCCGTGTGCGCCCCAGGAAGTTGCTGCCTGCCTGTCTCGGGCATCTGGCTGGGCTCTCGCCCTTCTGAGCTGTACCTCTGCTCCCCCTAAACCTCAGCGTGTGTGTCAGGCTTTGGCCACAGCTGTCTTCCCGTGATTCTCAGCGTGCTCCGCAAGTCTTCTTGGGCCAGCGCTCGGTCCACTGTTCCCGGAAGGCTGCGTGCCCCGCTTAGTCCCCACGGGCCTAATCATCCTAGACCCCAGACTTTTCTTCACTTCCAACCCATGCCTGCTTCATCTGCGTGCTCAGCACCCAGTCCCCAGCGGGGAAGCGCCGGGATTCCTTCAGGAAAGCACTCAGGCTCTCCCTTCTTCCCTCCTGCAGAGGGAAGCCCCACTGCCTTCAGCCCGGCCCGTGTGGGCCCCCTGTCCCCTGCCCATCGATAATGACTGTCTCTTCTCTGTCACTAGGTGATGGTAATGCCCGAAGGAGCAGACACGGTGTCCAGGCCCAGTCCCGACTACCCCATGTTACCCACAATTCCACTCTCTGCCTTCTCTGACCCCAAGAAGACCAAACCATCCCACGGCTCCAAGGTTAGTGAGGCGGAAGGCCCAGTCGCGTGGGAGCGCCTGGGCCCAGCTGTGGTGGGTCTGGCCCCGGCGCCGCCCCTCCACCAGGCTGGGCCTTCCGCACCTGAACTCGCTCCCTTGGCGTCTTCCTCTTTGAGCTCTCTGCACTCCCCTTGCTGCGCACTGCCGCTTCCCTAGAATTGCAGGAATAAGCCCGTGATCATAGGCTCTTTGTCCCGTTCATCTTGAGGCCAGAGACCTGGCCTAGTCCTCTCCCGTTCTGCCAAGCAACGGCAGGGCCCCAGGACTGCTCGGCCTGAAGCCCTGAGAGCTTCGCTGACGGCTGTCAGGGCAGCCACCGGATAGGGCATCTCTGTCTGTCCAGGCCACAGCTGTCCACCCCTCAGCCCTCCCGAGGGCAACCAGGGCTGCTCCTGCCCTTGGCCGTGCCAGGCTTTGCATCGCAGGCAGGGGCTCACTGCAGAGTTGTGTGGGAGAAGGGCGGGGACAGCCAGGTGGGTGCCAGCCGAATTCCACTGTGGAAGAAACTATTGTCTCATCTTGGCCTGGTGGGTCAGGTGGGTGGCGCTTGCTCCTGGGCTTCTCTCTTGGAACTGTCTGAGTGACAGCTCAGAAGACATGCTAGAAAGCCCTTCAATAGCATCACAGTGTCATTTAACCCTCAGCACGTCCCAGTCCTCTGTAGCCGCCCACTCAGCACAGCCGTTCCTGGAGGCTGAGCTGCACGGGCCCTCAGAGCAGTACCAGGCACGTCACCCACACGTCCTCTCTGGACTCTCCGCCGGTCCTCTCTGCTCTCCTCGCCTCACTTGTCTGCCGGGTCCTGTGAGTGGCTCTGGCCATCCCAGGCGGGACAGGCAGGGGTCTCAGCTGCCTCCCAGCCTCCCCGTCAGCCGCGCTGCAGGAGAACCGCAGCACCCAGGCAGGTCTTTCTGGCTCTTTCCCCGAGGTCAGCAGATCTTAGAAATCCTCAGACTCGCCAGAGTCTCTGAGTAGGAAATGGAACCCTGGGGCCTCCCCACTTGGCCTCCTGGCCTGTCTCTCCCTCGTGGAGGCTCAATGAAGAAAACGCTCTCGCTGGGGATCTTGGCAGTGCCCCCTCTCAGCCACCACAACAGGAAGAGAAGGAACTGCCATTTCTTCTGTATGGGTCACTTCAAGCCACCTAAAACCCTGAGCAGAGGTACCCCCCAGGGCTGGTGGGGCTGCGTCTGCCGGAGCTGCTTGTGGCTTTTCTTCCCGGAGAGTCTCTGAGACCGTGGGAGCCCCCAAGGCAGTGAGTTGACCTGCCGGGCTCAGGAGGCCTGCAGGCAGCTTCCTCTAGCTCCACCCTCTCCGTCCCAGGAGCCTTCTCCAGCCACCTGGTGGGGGGAGGTAGGCAGCGTCCATGGGGAGCCTCAGGTAGCACAGGGTCCTGCCAAGGCACTTGTCTGCTGAGGGAGTTCGGAGAAAGCCGCGGCCTCGAGTCCTAGCTTGGCAAGTGAGCTGTCGGCCCCACCACGGAGTCCTTGGACGCACAGGCCTGTGAGCCAGCCTCTTCCCCAGCTGAGCGCCCGCCTCTGGTCACTGGCTCTCTGCCTGGAGAGTGAGTGGCTGGGCCATGCACTCCCAGCAGAGGGCCCTCAGCAGGGCTCTCTGAGCCAGGAGAGATGGGACAGGCGGGCCTTTTGGAGCCTTGCCCATCAGAATCCCTGGACTGGAGGACTGCTGGTGAGTGCAGCTGCGGCAGCTTTGGGGGACTCTGTCCTGGGGTTTCGTCCCCACTTGACAGCCCCCATCCAAGAGTGGTGTGGCAGGCAGGAACCCCAGCTTCGTAGAGGGGGCAGGATCCTCCCACGGCCTTGGCAGCAGCTGCAGGGGGCCGGGTGTCACCCGTGTGATGTCAGGTACTTGGCCTGCTTGCTCTTTCCCGTGGAGGTTTGTGGACAACCTTGCGAACATGGTTTTGATGGCTTCTCGCTTTGGAGAGCACTCACTTTGTGCTTACAATGTACTGCCTAGTTTCAGAATCAGTGGTATCAGGTGCCTGTGTGCATCCCTGGGAAGGCTCCTTCCAGCCGGGCAGGTTCTGGTGGCAGTGGCAGTTTAGTTGACCCTGGGCCAGGGGTGCACGGTGGGAGCTGTGTTAGGGCCACGGGCGTGCCTTTGCAGTTTGCTGTCCTTCTGTCCTTGGTGGTTGTTATGCTGGCTGAGCTCCTGTGGCCCAGGTGGGCATGTGTCCCCTGCCAGAAGAGTCCAGGGTGGCATGTGGCATAGCAGTGTCTCACCTCCCTCCTTGGGGAGCAGCTCGCTGGGGAGTGCAGCCCCATTCCACACCCCAGCTCCCAAGGGGACACCCTTGATAGCCCTGCATGGCCCAGGCCAGTTGGGGGGATTGTGGGGGCACTCCTGCTGCCCCTGGTGTAACAGCCAGGTCGGGCACAGGGCTTGCCGTTTCTCCAGGGAGGCGGCAGAGGCCTCACAGCCATTGGAACTGTTCTTGAGCTTTCGACACTGAATGTACGTTGTGGCTTTGCAAGACGGCCAGCCCAGGAGACAGGCCAGCTCAGGAGACCGGTATGGGGTCGCTGCTCTGTCTGCCCTGTGGTTCTTTGCTGGGAAGAGTCTGTCCCTGGACACTCAGGTGGTTTTCAGAGGCCCCTGGCCAGCTGCACGTCTTCAGGGGAGCTATGAAGTGTTCCCTCCATCCCCCATACACACTGGCTCCTGGAGCCCCTCCCCAGGGGCTTCGGGGTCTGCTGCTACTGGCTTCTGTGCCAGGCCAGGTGTGCGATCATCCAGACAGGCTCTGGGGCTGCCGTGCACCTGCTGGCTGATTCTCCTTTCCTATCGAGGGTGGAGCCCCAGGTTGCGGACGGCTGAGAAGCCTGTTCAGCACTCCTGGGTTCGTGGGGTGTTACAGGGTCTCTGTAAGGAAGGTGAATGCGTGGCTTCCGCTGTGGGGAGTGCTGGCGCTGTGCGTGTGGGATTGGGGTGTGGGGCAGAAACATCCAACATACAAGCAGCAGAGCCCAGGCCGACCGCGGGCTGTGCCGACTCAGCCATGGTGCTGGCAGTCCCCACACTGAGCTCGCCGCCAGCCTGGTCTGCGCCTTCGCCCAGTGAGGTAGTGGTCTTGCCCTTCCTCAAGGCAGCAGGCACAGATGTCTGGGGTTTTCTGCCTGGGTCCCGCAGTATGCAGGTCACAGAGCTGGGCTCGCTCCTGGGCCCTCCTGCTGCTCGCTGCCATTGTCTTCCCTCTGTCCCCAGTGGTATCAGCCCCTGAGTCCGGCTTCACCCTAAATGCCCTGAGTTTCTGAGGTGGAGACCTCGGAATGTCCTCCCTGTTTTAGGAAAGCAACACAGTGGATTTCCCTTCTGAGAAGCCCTGGAGCTGTTTGTTCTGTGCGGAACCAGTGGGCATGTAGCCGTTGGCTCCCTGAGGCTAGGCCCGAGCTGGCTGGACTCTGGGGTGTGGAGACCTAGGCTCAGAAAGGAAGGCTGTGAGGGACCGAGCAGGAAGCACTGAGCTTCCAACCCAGAGCATGAGTGCTGAGCCAAGTAGGCTGAGATGAGGGGCAGGGCTGCCTCCAGTGCCCCCCAGGGCTCCCCAGTACCCCGCAGCACCAGCAGAGTCTTTGCTTTTCCCTGGCCCAGCTGCGAGGTGTTAGTGCAGGCACAGGCATCGTGGTTTGCCTGGCTCTGCCTGACTCACCCTGTGCGTGAGTCCCTCAGGGAATTGTCAGTTCAATTCAGAGGGGAATCTTAGCCTGCAGCTGCTGGGGACCCTCTGACACTGGCTAGTAGTTTAAAGGGACAGCTCCATTTAAAACTCTCACCTGCTGCCTTACTTTTTCGCTTTTTGGAAGAATTTCCCTAGCTGAGGCTGAATCAGGTGGATTATGCTTTGTAGGGCTCAGGGGTGACAGAGCAGGGCGCCCCGCAATGCCGTGTGACCTTGTCTCTCCCCTTGCCCTCCCTGCCCTTGGCCTTGTAGGACGCAAACAAGGAGAGCAGCAAGGCCTCCAAGCCGCACAAGGTGACCAAGGAGCACCGGGAGCGGCCCCGCAAAGACTCCGAGAGCAAGAGCTCCTCCAAGGAGCTGGAGCGCGAGCAGGCCAAGAGCTCCAAGGACAGCTCGCGGAAGCTGGGCGAGGGCCGGCTGCCCAAGGAAGAGAAGGCCCCACCGCCCAAGGCTGCCTTCAAGGAGCCCAAGATGGCCCTGAAAGAGACCAAGCTGGAAAGCACGTCCCCCAAGGGCGGGCCCCCGCCCCCGCCGCCGCCCCCACCCCGGGCTTCCAGCAAGCGGCCAGCCACCGCCGACTCACCAAAGCCCAGCGCCAAGAAGCAGAAGAAGAGCAGCTCGAAGGGGTCCCGGAGTGCTCCAAGCACCTCGCCCCGCACCTCCTCCTCTTTCTTGGACAAGAAGCCAGTCAAGGACAAGAGCAGCACCAGAGGGGAGAAGGTGAAGGCCGAGAGTGAGCCCCGGGAGGCCAAAAAGGCCCTGGAGGTGGAGGAGTCCAACTCGGAGGACGAGGCCTCCTTCAAGTCCGAGGTGAGTGAGTGCCGGGGGCAGGGCAGGGTGGGTGGGCCGTCGAGGTGCAGTGGGTATGGTGGGACTGGCTGGCCTCAGGTCTCACTGACTGCTGCCCCCACTGACTCCTTGTAACCTTGGGCCTCCGCACCTCACTAGGCCTGGGTCTCCCCGTCTGTCAGGTTATAAAGTCTGCCTCGTGAGGAGTCCCTCCTCGACTCCTCGGTGGCATTTGTGGGTGGTTCTGGTCTAGCATGATGGCGTGGTACCGAACTTCTGAGCTCCTCTCCTCCAGCAGCCCCCTGCGAGGGCCCAGGTCTTGGCCGCTCTGGTGCCAGTAGGCAGGTGTGTCTCACGGTTGCTCTGACCACGGCACAGTCAGCCTGGCCTGGAGCTCGATCCCTCAGCTAAGTGGGCATCTGGGAGACTCACCATTGTCTGGAGGGTTAATGGTGAGGAGCAACTGGGCGTGCCTGGCTCCCTTCTTAGGTGGCGGGTGGGGTCAGGAGCCTCCCACCCACCCACACCCATCACACACACCTGTGACTTACTTGGAGATGCTTACATCTGGCCCCGCCCATGTCTGAGCTTGGGGTGAAGACCCCTCTCAGGGAGTGGCCTTGTCACCATGAGAGGCTGCGGGCTTGTCCCACAGCCCGGCATCTGTACAGTCTCAGAGGACCACATCAGACATGAATCGAGCCACAGGAGCCAGTAGCCATATCGTGGCCTTGTGGCCAGACCCCACCGGGGACCTGGGATGGAGGTGGTGTCTTCCAGCTCCGTATCTGGCACTTGGCATTCAGACAACAGATACTGCACCTGTGAAAATGAACGAATGGATGGGTGAGAGTCGGGCCTCTCACCTTTACTGCCAGCCCCAGCCCTCAGGGGCCTTTTGTGGCTTCCCCTGGCTTTCCAGGGGAAGCTTTGCCTTAGGGTTGCTGAGGCTTTGAAAAACCGCCTGGGCTTTGAAGGCAGGTTCCAGCTACAAAGCCAGAGGGGGTTTTGTGGGCTGCGCTGATTGCTATGCCTGTGGCCCCCAGGGCTCTCAGGGAGGTGGCGGGGCCGGCTGGAGTGATGTCCAGCCTCAGGGTAACAATTAGTCTTGGCTCATAGACGCACATGGGCTGGCAAAGCTGAGTTCCCGGTGCCCCCCACGGCTTGGCACTGGCTGAAGATGGTGCCACCTACTGTGACCCTGAGGCGGGTGTAGTGGGGGGCGGTGCTGCCTCCCAGAAATCTCAGCTGCCTCAGTAGCCCTCCCAGCTGTGGGAGGTCCTGGCAGTGCCTGCTGGGCACCAAACCTGCCCCCTTCTCCACCTGTGCAGCAGCCACAGCCCTGGCATGTAGTCCCAGGCGCGGCATCTCCAGGCGAGGCCTTCTGGCACCTGGGGCTGGGTGTGCAGCACGCTGGGCAGCGGCGAGGCAGCTCCGTGGCCGGGTCCACTCCACTCTGCTCAGCCAGCCTGCCCCCCAGCAGTGAGCAAGGTGGCTCCTGGCTCCCATCACCAGTGTTGTAAAACAGCTGGAATCTTCTGTGGGGAGCTTCTTGCCATGTGGGGAGCTTCTTGCCACCTTGGGCGCCGCTGCTTAGAATGGTTGAGTGGCCTTGAGGCTGGAGTTGCTGGAGGAGGCATTGGGGTTTCCTCCTGGCTGAAGAGGAGCGCCCTGCGCATGCTGAGAGGCTTCTGAGCAGTGTGGCTTAGCACCCCGAGGTCCGTGTGGATATGATATGCAGGCCGCAACAGCCCCAGCAGCCCAAGGTTTCACTGAAGCCCAAGCTGCTATGGTGAAGGGGTGCACTGGCTTTCCAGACCGCTGGCCCCTCAGCCTCCCCTTGGCTGTCTTGGTCACCCCTCCCAGGAGGCTGCACGTGGCTGTGCCACAGGAACTGGTCATCACGTGGAATCTGCAGCAGCTGGGCCTGGCCCACGCCCACCCTCGGAGGGCAGCTCTTTGGGCTGAGTCCCCGGACTGAGCTCCCACGTCCTCCCACTGCTGCTTTGGGGTCTCCCTGGCCCTTGGGAATCTGGAAGCAATTGGTACCGACTACCTTTAGGCCAGTTGTGGACCCAGCCTGCTCCACCTTCCCTCTGGGCCCTGGGTATCTCTGGTGACCCTTCTGACCACACCACCTCGGGGCTCTTTTGGCTGAGACCATTTCCAGATTCTTTTCCTCCCTGCCCCTTGGATTTGGGTGGAAGGAAGAGGGGCTCATGTGGCCAACTGGCTTCACTCTGTCTGACACAGCACCAGGACCCCTGGCCCAGGCAGGCTCAGGGGACCTTCGGGGCTCTGGGCCCTCCCTGCCTCCATCCCTTCTGACCTTCCTCAGCCTCCTTTGGTCGCCTGAACCGCACCCTCAGTGAGAATGTGCATGGGCCGTGGGGCTGGGACCTTGGATCCTTCCCCAGCCCCCTCCCTCCAGGTGGTGCCCACCCTCTGCCCCAGGGGTTCCATCCAAGGTTGGAGGGAGGACTGGCCTTGGCCTCTGTGTGCAGGCAGCTGGCAGTGCGGGGGAAACAGGCTGACATGATGATCTGAGTAGCAAGGCCTGCTGCTCAGAAGGCTGGGCTTAGACAGGCCCTCCTTCACCAGTCACCTCTTACCCACCCCCGGCCCTCAAGAACGGAAGGCAGGCGGTACATCATGTGGCTCCAGGCAGGCCCTGCCAGGGGTGCTGGACCCTCAGGGGTATGTGTTCAGGACTCAGATGGCCTGCGTGCCACCTCTCCAAGCAGGCTTTCCCAGCACTGATTCTACAGGGAATGCCATGTGCTGGTGGGAAGGGGCGCCAGCAGGGGCTGGTCTGAGGGGCAGAAGGGGCTGGGCTGGGCTGCAGTGAACCCTGGAGAAGGGACCCTTTTCCCTCTCAGGCATGGGTGAGTCTGGACCTGCCACAGAAGGAGGCCTTGGGCCTTCGTGGGGCCCCTTCTGCAGGGCGGAGGCTGCCCCATCTGCGCTAGGGGAGGATCCGAGGGCCTCCAGGCACTCAAGGTTCTGAGTCCCGCGGGATCAGCACTCCTTTCACAGCTTCCTTTGCATGGCTGGTGGCTCAGTGGGCCATGCCAGAATCCAGCAGACCAGCTGCCTCCTCTTGATGCAGGGAGGACCCTGCAGGGGACTGGTCTGAGGGGCTCAACTCACCTAGTTCTACCAGACGAGCCCCCAAGGTGAGGGGGCTGACCTGGGCCCACCACATCCTCTGACACACCCCTGGGGATGCGCCCATTGGCAGAAATGAGGGTCCGCAGCAATGGACCCCTTCCCCGTGCAGGCTTCTGCAGTGCCTGACTCCTGTCCACCCAGGAGATGCACCTCTGCCCGGCACGCACTTGCCCCCCACTATCACCCTGTGCCCTGGCATCACACTCCGTATGTCCTCGTTTTGGCTTTTACTGCCCCCTGGTGGCTGAGCCTGGAAGGACTGCTGCGGGAGGAGGAGGTGGGCCAGGCCAGGCTTGCCCACGGCTTCTGTTGGGCAGCTGGTGGTCAGAGCCGTACATGGGTGGAGAGATGGAGTTCCCCTGAGCCCTGGGATAGCGCTGGGTCAGAACAAGAAGTGTCCACATGCAGCTTTCCTGTTCCAGACCCTTTTGCGACACCAGCCAATGCCGGCCTCCTTAGATAAGGGCAAGGCTCATCCACTGTGGGACCTCAGGCCCCTGCCCCAGCCTCCCTCCCAGTCCCCTGTGCACCTGCTTAGGTAGGCAGGTTCTCCTGGTGCTACTGGAAACCCAGACACCGCTCAGTGGGTAGAATCCATGGGTGTCCTCGGGCTGGCGGGGAGGCTGTAGGCTGCACGTGGCCTGGACACTGGCTCCCTAGCGGGTTCGCAGCCACATACGTGGGTACCCTTGGGACTCTGGAGGTGTCTAGGGGAGACCCACTCGGCATGCTGCTACCAGAGGGGCCTCCTTTGTCTCTGCTGAAAGGTGACGGCTCTCCCTCTCTCCCCTCCCTCCCCGCCCACCATTGGGTGAAGTCTGCCCAGTCAAGCCCGTCCAACTCCAGCTCCAGCTCAGACTCCAGCTCGGACTCGGACTTCGAGCCATCTCAGAACCACAGCCAAGGTGTGTGCCGAGAGCAGCCAGGGGCATGGCCGGGGCCAGGAAGGGCCCGGAGCTCAGGCCTTGTGCATGCTGCTCAGTGTCCGGTGCCTGTCCAGGCTGGGCCTACAGATCGTACCTGGAGGGTTTTGGTGGCTTGGGGGAGTCTGTATTTGAAAGCAAAGCAGAAACAGGCCACTGGACCTCTAGCCAGGCCCGGGGCACTGCTCCTTGTGGTGGCTGTTGGCGTCCACCCATGCCTGGAGCCGTGCTGCTGAAGGGCTTCTGGTGAGGGCCCTGCCCTGGCCAGAACCCTCCCTGTGCTGCTGGGGACCACGGACAGAGGGCATCACCTCCTCCGCCCACGGCGCCCGCTCCCTAGGGCCACCAAGGCACCAGCTGCCTGTGACGGCCAAGGTCCTCTGCTGCCGGGGTGTTTGGCCTGCCCTCTCCCTCTCCTTGCAGGCCACCCTGGGTAAGGGTTGCTTTTTGGGGAAAGGACATAGGCCCACTGGCTGCTCCAGCTTGCCCCAGAGCAGGGAGGGCCCTGGGGACCAGGCAGCCTGCAGGACACAGTGTGAGAGCCGCCCTGAGCCCCCAGCGCCAGCCCAGACCCCAGCACACACCCCCAGGCCCAGAAGTGTTTTCTCTCCTGGGTTGGAACAAGAGCCTCCTTCCCCTTTGGCCTGGAATCCTTTGCGGGGTGGGGGGGGGCGGGGGGGGAGTGGGGGAAGAGGAGTGGATGGGGTTGTGGAGGGAGTCTGGGCTGGAATTCAGCCGGCAATTGCCGAGGGGGCTGGGGGATGGGGCCCTTGAAGCCCACACTCGCTCCAAGTGTTCTTATCTGCCGGGAAGGGAGGGGGAACCTACTGAAGCGGGATCATGTGACCAAGGTAATTGAGGGCTTTGTGTCCCTCTGTTGCCTTGGTAACAGGAATATAAACCAAGATGCCGTCTGTAGGGGACTGGAACCGTGTGCCTCTGGAGAAAGGGGAGGACGGTGGACTGGGAGCAGCAGAGGGGATTACCGAGGGTGTGGGCAGGCCGGCGTAGGGCGAAGGCAGAGGGATCTGTGGCCCCAGGCCCAGCTTCTGAGCCAGGCTCTGTCTCCCTCGCCCTCCCTGGGCTCTCGGCAGAGCTTCTGATCTCTGTGCCCTGAGCAGAGGAGAGGTTCTCCTCCGGCTGTAGCAATGGAGGGGCTCTGCGCGCCCACTGCCAGTCAGGCCCCCGAGGCCTGCGAGCAGGGCCAGGAAGGTAGGGGGGGTGGCGGGAGCCAGGAGGTCCCTGGGGAAGGGGGTGGCTGCCAGTGTGGGGGTAGTTCTTGGACATGGGCAGAGGGACCCCCAGGCGGGCTGGCATGTGCATTTGGGGGTGACCAGTGTCAAGAAGCTCTGCGTGGCCTCACGGGCGAGGGGCCTGGAGGCTCAGTGGAGCCCTGCGCTTCTCTACCTCCCTGCCTGCCCGCCTCCCCAGGACCCCTGCGCTCCATGGTGGAGGACCTGCAGTCCGAGGAGTCCGACGAGGACGACTCTTCGTCAGGCGAGGAGGCTGCCGCCAAGACACACCCGGGGAGGGACTCCAGGTGATGGCCGGGCAGGAGCGGGCGGGCGCAGGCGGCTACCCGGGGCGACTCTGGCTGGACCTGCAGTGATTGTGGGGCTGGAGGTGGGGTTGAGACTGGAGGGTCCCCTGGGAAGGCTGAGGTGGGGATCTGTCCGAAGGTGGCCTCAGTCCAGCCTGGGCCTTGGGGTGGGCCTGGGGCTATGTGTCTTCTTCTGGTCCCTGAGGCTGAGGGCGTAAAGGGCTGCCTCATGTTCGGGGCCTTGGGTGGCGTCCGTCCTCATGGTTGTCCAGCAGGTGTGGGCTGCCTGGTAGGGAGGGGTGCAGAAGGGAGTCAGACTGCGCCCAGCTGCCAGGGAGCCCCGGCTGGAGGTGGGGGGAGGGGAGTAAGCTTGTTGCTCTTCTCTTGGGCCAGGAGACTCCGGTCCTTTCCCACCTGCCTAACATGGGGCAAGGATCCATGGAGAGCCCCCTCCTGGGGCAGCGGACACCCGGTGTGGGAGCAGCTTTGCTGCCTGTGGCTTTTGCCCCCATGAGGCATGGGGGATCCAGGGGCATCCTTGGGATATGCAGGCCCCTTGGCGGGATCCCACCTGGGAGAGCTCCATGCGTCCGGCCTCCAGCCCAGCGACAGCAGAGAACGTGCGGGCCTTGGCCCCATCACACAGGCTTTCCCAGAGCCGTAGCAGAGCTGGCAGTCAGCCCCTCCTCCCGGTGAGGCCAAGGCCTCCAGGCCTCAGTGGCTCCTCTCGAAGAGGAGGCTGGTTATTGGCCTGCTCTTAGCAAGGTGCATGGGAACCTAACAGGCGCCTGCAGGTGTTTGTGATTAACTAAAGCCGTCTTCCCGAGAGCTGGGTGGCAGGCTCTGGCCGGGTCCCCGGTGTGCAGTGCACCAGGCCGGCAGGCACATGGGGGGATTCCTGCCCACCGCAGACAGAGCAGGAGCAGTGGTTCACTGCTGGGGAGCCGCCGGTGAGAGGTGAGGGCTGTGGCGTCCCCAGGACAGGACCTGGCAGCAGGCTCCTGTCTCGTTCACTGACATTCAGGGTGGATTCTGTTTGCGCCAAGAGCCGTGAGTGCAGAGGCTGACGGGGTGGGATTCTAGCGGGGCTGGCAGCACAGCACAGGGACCCAGCCGCATGCCAAGTTACCTCTCGATTCCTCCCGGAGCGTTTGTGTGGGTCTCGGGTGAGGGTTCGCCAGCCTTGTCCCTGCATTGTCGGGGCAGGGAGCAAGTGGGCCGCGTCATCAGAGCCCCCACACACAACCTGGTCTGCTCCCTCAGAGGCCCAGTTTGCGGTAGTGCCCAGCTGTCACCTGGGGGATACAGGGCAGAGGCCGATGGGAACAGAGACAGGGGCGTCGCCCGGGCAACCTGAGCCAAACCAGGAGCCGCCAGAGCCGGGAGGCAGCTGCAGAGAAAGCGGCCCCAGCCTAGGCCACTGAGGGGCAAGTTTAAGAGATGGATGGAGCCTGTGCCGGGCAGGAGCAGGCCAGGAGCAGAGGCAGGGGCTGTTTCTGCTGCCACGGGGGTCCAGTCTGCGCTTCTGGTACCTTGTTCGCTGGGAGGCCTGGGATTTGCTGTGTTTTAAATGTGTTGTGAAGTGATAGTTGTCAGGGGCCCCTTTCCCTGGATCAAGCCCAAAATCTCCCTGGCAGAGCGGGACCCCAGGCACGCATAGTGAGTGAAACATGGGCCTAGGCTCGCCACCATTGTGTGCTGTCATAGCGGCCTCCTTTCACAGGTGGGGAAACCGATGCAGAGGTCAAAGACCTGCCCCCCAGTGTGGGGGAGGCTGAGAGCTTGGGCCTCTCCCCACCACCAGATACCCTTGTTTAAGACCACACTCTCTGGGGTCAGGGGGCCGACGTAACTGATGGAGGCCTGCCGTCCAGAGCACAGCAGGGTCAGGTGGCCACAGGAGCATCAGAGGGTCTGGTGGCTTCGAGGTGTTGGAGGGGCTGGCGGCTGGAGGGGTGGGCGGCTGCGGGAGCCTCGGAGGGTCGGTCAGGTGGCTGCAGGAGCATCAGAGAGGCAGGAGCATCAGGCGGGAGCCTCGGAGGATCGGTCAGGTGTCTGCGGGAGCCTCAGAGGGTCGGTCAGGTGGCTGCGAAAACATCAGAGGGGCAGAAGCATCGGGCGGGAGCCTCAGAGGGTCCGTCAGGTGGCTGCGGGAGCCTCAGGGGCAGGAGCTCAGGCGGGAGCCTCAGAGGGTCGGTCAGATAGCTGTGAAAGCATCAGAGGGGCAGGAGCATCGGGCGGGAGCCTCGGGGGCAGGCCACTGCAGGAGGGAGCGCTAGGAAAAGAGGACACATGTTTGCAGGCCGCTCCTCCTCCCCTTGTGCAAGCCGCGGAACCAAGTCAGGACCACAGCCCAACAAGCCCTGTCTGGCTGAGGGACTTTGTTCCCCGGGTGTCCTGAGCCACTCTGGGTGGCCTGGTTTTCTTGGGGTTCTTTCCTCTTGGTGGCCACGCTCACATAATTTTTTTTTTAAAGTTGAGGCTTCTGCCCAGAGCTGAATAGAGTTGTCAGGAGTGTGTGGGTAGGGGCTGAGCCTGGGGTGGGGGGAGGGGTGTCAGGGGCCTGATGAGCCCCCACGTGTTGGTTCAGGTTGAGCTTCAGCGACAGTGAGAGTGACAATAGCGCCGACTCCTGCCTGCCCAGCCGAGAGCCCCCACCCCCCCAGAAGCCACCCCCACCCAACAGCAAGGTGAGCCTGGGGCCCCGCAGGCAATGGGTGCACAGGAGGCGGGGCTCAGCCCTGGGTCTGGCTGTCCTAGGAGGGTTTGTGGGGCACTGGGGGCTGGGAACAGTGTGGACCACAGCTCAGCAGAGACCTGGGTTCCCTGCAGGTGTCAGGCCGGAGGAGCCCCGAGTCCTGCAGCAAGCCCGAGAAGATCCTCAAGAAGGGCACCTATGACAAGGTGGGGGGCTTGGGAGGGGGCAGGTGGCGGGAGGTACAGCCAGTGGAGGACTGCAGAGCTTCTGACACCCCACAGTTGGACTATCCCTGGGTGGGGGCAGCCCTTCCTCCCCTTCTGGCCCTGCAGCTTCGGGCCTTCCTTGGGGTGGCTGTGGCTACCTCTGTCCCGTGCTGGGACGGACTGGGTCATGGGTGGGGCTGGGCGCGGGAGCAGGAAGGGCCCAGGGCCCTGCACGCGCTGCTGAGACCTGCACCCTTCCTCAGGCCTACACGGATGAACTGGTGGAGCTGCACCGGAGGCTGATGGCCCTGCGGGAGCGCAACGTCCTGCAGCAGGTACCGCCCCCTCCAGGGTCCGGGCAGGCTGTCCAAGGTTGGGACACCCATGAGGAGTGTGGGCTGCAGGGGCCCGTGGTGCTGCCCCAGGAACCCCACAGCCGTCTTGGGGAACAGGGCAACCCCGCACTTGACCTCCTGCCCCTGAAGCCACCTGCCACTGCCTTACAGATTGTGAACCTGATTGAGGAGACTGGCCACTTCAATGTCACCAACACCACCTTCGACTTCGACCTTTTCTCCCTGGACGAGACCACCGTGCGCAAACTGCAGAGCTACCTGGAGGCCGTGGCCACATGACCCTGGGCTGCCAGCAGGGCCCCCACCGCCGGGGTCCTGGGAGGCTGCAGCCAGGCCCTGCCTGCCCTCCTCTCCCGTCTCGCCTGCCCGCAGCACTGCCTTAGCGACAGCCCTGTCTTCGCCCACACGGCCCGCTGCACTTTCCTCGGCGGCTCCCCGCCCACTCTCCCTGCCCCGTCGCCAAGAGTCCCGGGGCCAGGCTGGGCCACACACGAGCCGCCCCCCGGGTTCTCCTCAGAGAGTGGCTGGTGTTGAGGGCAGCTCTGGGCAGAGACAGGGCCTGGGGCCCCTTGCGCAGCCTCAGGACCAGCCCCTACTCTTTCGCGGGCTGTGCGGCAGGGCGTTGCTGCCCCAGTTTCTCTGAGCAGCTGACCGACTGCTGGGGGCGTCTCCAGCCTCCCGAATGGTTCAAAACACACCCTCTGACCACCCTGGACCTCAGAAGGCTCTGCCTGTGTGTCTGCGTCGTCCTCCATGTAGACCTAGCGCCGGCTCCTCCCTGGCTCGCGCTGCGCTGGGGTCTGTGCTGTATAGTTCTCTCTATTATATATGTGTGTGCACTGTCTGGTCAAGAGCAGTGTCCATGTGCGTTTCTGTGGCAGCAGTGCACGTGGGGTGGGTGGGGGGTGTGTACGGTGGGGCTTGTAGGTTAAGATGTCTCTGCGGTGTTGTCGTGGGGCTGGAGGCTGAGCCAGGCGTGGTAGCTGGCCCTCTCCGGGCGCACGGAGGAATTCTCCCTTTGACGTTCCAAGGATGCCGCCGCCTCCTGCCGGGGCTCCTGGGGTGGCCGGCCAACACTAAGAAGGGCAGCAAGTCCTCAGGGCGCCGGGGAGCCGCCACTCTGCTCTCAGGCTCTACTCAGACTAGCACCAACAGTCTCCAGGGACAGGCTCGCATCGGCCGCCCTGCGGCTTGGCCTCCTCCCATAGGATCCTCTTCCTCCCTCTCATTCATCAAGTCTTCAAACTTTGAAAAACATATGAGCTTTTGCCAAATAAGACGGGATAGTTGATGGAGTTTTCTGAGGCTCACTGGACTCCGGTCAGCCCTCGAGCGTGGGCCCAGCCGTCGGCAGCCCCGGGGGGTTGGCCCAGCTGGCCCGTCACCGCCTGGCCCGCCCTGGCCTCCACCGTCACAGTTCATGCTGGTGCCGGGCTGCACACCCACTCCTGGTATGCCTGAGGTTCTCCAGGGGCCAAGCCAGTCCTCCCTTGAGGCCCTCTCTTCCAGGGCCAGGATGCTCCTGTGGAGCCAGCCCACCTCGGCTGGGGTCCCAGGGACTGGATGCCTGTCTGCTTAGCCTCCGTGTACCAACCCCCTGACTTTCAAGTCCTTGTGCCCTGACCAAGTTCTGAGGAAAAGAGCGCTCAGGGCCTCGAGGTGGCTCGCCCCCCTCAAACTCACCTAGTCTCCTCCCAAGTCTATGAGCTCAGACACGGGGGCTCCATCTGTCTTTTCCTGAGGTCCCGAATCTTGTCCCTGCTCTGATTCTGTCAGCAGATCCTGAACACTCCTTGGTGGGGACCCCCGCCTCCAAGGCAGACCCCAATGCCAGCTGCCCTGGGGAAACTCCCCAGAACTCTCGGGGAAAGGCCCGAGAACCTTCCGAGGAAGCCTCCGGGACTCCTCTCCACTTGCTCTGTTTCTCTCCTGGCCCCGCTGCCTTCAGGTATCAGGAAGAGGGCAGGCCCCTGCGCCTCCTCTCCCCTTCCCAGGTCGGCCAACAATACTCCAGCGTGGGGCACTTCCTTTCTTTTCTGCAAACTCTCTAAGACATTGGACCGAAGGAACTAGCCTGAGGGGGGCTGACCGGGGCCGGTGCTGCTGGGTGCTCTACCCACGGAGGCCGCCGGGGGTCACGGACAGGAACCTCAGCCCAAGGGTGCTGGCCTTTCTCCTTCACAAGAGTCCCCCAGGATCCACACAGCGACTCAAGCAGCCTTCCGCTCAGCCGGAGGAGGGCCAGGCTCCCCCCCGCCTGCTCTGGGTGGTGGCGTCTGGCCCTTCCTGCCCTTTCCAAGGCCTCCGGAAGCACCAACTCAGTTCTCAGTTACCTCCTCTGGCCAGAAGGTCTCACGCTGTCCTCCAGAGCTGCTCTGGGCCCAGGGCTGGCTCCATGACCACCCCGATGGACGTGCTGGGCAGCATGGGCCCCGATAGCAGTCCCCAGCTGCTCTCCCACCCCACCCCAGCTGCCCGGCGGCTGGGCCCACGAGGGCTCTGGGGACACTTCCATAGGAAGGGGCCCGGCACTTTGTGATTGCCACGTGTCTCGTGTTAAGCCGCCCGCCCCCAGTGCAAATTTCTGTGTTTCTCTCCTGAACAAAAATGTAAACCGACGCCGGAAAGCAAATGGTATCGAATACCTTTCTTGCCCACAAGGGTTTTTACAAAGAATGTGTCTCACTAGGAACTAGGACACTCATCGGCCCAAGACCAACTCCTGAATAAAAGGAATAAGGAGAATCGTGTTTGTAACGAGTTACAGGATCGTTTCTTTCCTGGATTTTAAACTTTTTGTTAAATCGTGAAATTATGGAGGAGTTTTATAGAAAAAAAAAAGTGAAATAAAGTCAGATGGGAAAGCAGACCCATGCATGTGCCTGGTTCCTCCTGTTGAGTTGGTGGGCAGGTGGGCAGGCGAGCGACGGAGCCTGGGGCACGTTAGCCCAACTTCCTGTCCTCGTGCCTCCAGATCAGTGACCAAGAAGGGAAAAGAGGGTTGGGACGAAGCCTGCTGGGGGCTGGGAGCGTGAGCAAGGCTGGCGTCCCAAAGAAATAGAGACGACACCACCAGAAATTCAAGAGGGCAGAGAATTCGGCTCACATCCTGCTTCTGATCTGTGCTCTTTACTTGGAAGCAGGCAGTAAGGTTTGGGTTGAGAAAAAATTTGTTTTCATAAGGTGGATGGATGGTTTGATGGATGAGTGGATGATTGGTTGGGTGGACCACGGATGAATAAATGAATGGGTGGGTGGCAGGAACGAAGGATGGATGAATGGATTAATGGGTGAATGGAAGGAAGGAAGGAAAGATGGATGGATGGGTGGATAGATGGATCAGTGAGTGGATGGAAGGAAGGAAGGCTGGATGGATGAGTGGAATGGATGGATGGATGGATGGATAGAAAAATATAGGCAAAGACTTTTTTTTTTTTTTTTTTTTTTTTTTTTTTTTTGCCAGGAGCCAGCATGCCATCTCCCAGTTTCCCTGTGGTGGGTTTTTCTCTGGCCTCTGAGTGGCAGAGCTCAGTGAGACTCCAGGAGACAAAGCTGTCACTGGCCCCATGTGATCAGATCTGTCCCCTCTGGGCTCCAGCTCCTGAGCTGCCCACATTGCAGGGCCACCGTGGCAGCCGCTGACTGAGATCACTTTTGTCAGCAGGCAGCAGCTGGTGACTCGGGAGCATGTCTTCTCTCTTCTACTCTGGAGCCAAAAAATCCATTCCCAGCATCAGAGTGTGGCTTTCCCTGCCCTGTGACTTCCAGAGAAAGGTTCTTTTGGGGCTTGGGGGGATGGTTTTAGATCTGAGCTCCTGAAATAGGCATATGGAGTGAAAGAGGGTCTACAGTGGCCCCCTTCAGGGTTCCCAGAACCCCAAAATGCAGTGGAAGGACCATGGACGTGTAAAAACATGGTTGGGCTTTCTGGCCGGGTGCCGTGGCTCACACCTGTAATCCCAGCACTTTGGGAGGCGGAGGCATGTGGATCGTTTGAGGCCAGGAGTTCAAGATCAGCCTGGGCAACATGACAAAACCCTGTCTTTACTAAAAATACAAGAATTAGCCTGAGCTAGTGGCGCACACCTGTGTAGTCCCAGCTACCCAGGAGGCTGAGGCACAAGAATTGCTTGAACCTGGGAGGCACGGGTTGCAGTGAGCCAAGATCACACCGCTGTACTCCAGCCTGGGCGACAGGTGAGACCTTGTCTCAAAAAAAAAAAAAAAAAAAAAGGGATGGCCAAGGTGGCTCACACCTCTAATCCCAGCACTTTGGGAGGCCGAGGCAGGTGGATCACCTCAGGTTGGGAGTTTGAGACCAGCCTGGCCAACGGGGTAAAACCTGTGTCTACTAAAAATACAAAAAAAAAAAAAAAAAAAAAATGAGGTGGGTGTGTTGATGGACGCCTATAATCCCAGCTACTTGGGAGGCTGAGGCAGGAGAATCACTTGAACCTGGGAGGTGGAGGTTGCAGTGAGCCAAGATCATGCCATCGCACTCCAGCCTGGGCAACAAGAGCAAAACTCCATCTCAAAAAAAAAAAAAGGAGTAAGGCTTTTTTCCTAAGAGGTTTCTCATGGACTCTTCATAAGTACTCGATGAAAACGGCCTCAGCAAACTGACTTGCCTAGGATTTTTTCTTTTCTTTTTTTTTCTCTTTTTTTTTTTTTTTTTTTTTGAGGCAGAGTCACTCTCGCCCAGGCTGGTCTCGAACTCCTAACTGCAAGTGATCCATTATCAAATTATCAAGTTTTCCTTGAAATGGTTTTTGAGCTGTTATGCCTTGTTTAGGATGATTTTTTTTTAAAGTTCTTCCATGATTTCTCCTAGAAATTCAATTCCTCTTCCCCCTTTTCCTGCCTCCCTTCACTCTCACGTTTCAGTTTGTTCCATCTGGAACTTATTTAGCCGTGAGGTACAGCCCCAACTCTATTTCCCCAATAGCTATGCAAAGCGGTCCACCCATTTATATATATATATATATATATATATATATATATATATATATATAATTTTTTTTTTTTTTGAGACAGAGTTTCGCTCTTGTTACCCAGGCTGGAGTGCAATGGCGCTGTCTCAGCTCACTACAACCTCCGCCTCCTGGGTTCAGGCAATTCTCCTGCCTCAGCCTCGCACAACCATGCCCAGCTAATTTTTCTTTGTATTTTTAGTAGAGACGGGGTTTCATCATGTTGACCAGGATGACCTCGTGATCCACCCGCCTCGGCCTCCCAAAGTGCTGGGATTACACGCTTGAGCCACGGCGCCCGGCCTTATATATCTATTTTTATTAATTATTATTACTTTTTGAGACGTCTCATTCTGTCACCCAGGCCGGAGTGCAATGGTGTTATCTCAGCTCAGTGCAACCTCTGCCTCCTGGGTTCAAGCAATTCTCCTGCCTCAGCCTCCTGAGTAGCTGGGATTACAGGCACCCATCACCATGCCTAACGGCTAATTTTTGTATTTTTAGTAGAGATGGGGTTTTGCCATATTGGCCAGGATAGTCTCAAACTCCTGACCTCGTGATCCGCCCACCTCGGCCTCCACAAGTGCTGGGATTACAGGTATGAGCCCCTGCACCCGGCCCACCCGATTTATTGAATGACCTGTCTGTCTTTCCTTCACTTAGTTGAAATGGTGTCGTTGGTTGTATTTTTCAATTCCTGCATACGTTTGTGGTTCTCCTTGGCTTCCTTCATATGCTCCCTACTGACCTTTGCATTTCCGCCACTGTGTGACCTAGTTAATATCTGGTAGTAGTAGCTTCCCTTTATTATTCTGCCTCAGAATTTTCCCAGATATTCTTGCATGCTTTTTTTCTCGATATAAATGAATCACCTTATGTTTCAGATTTTTTTTTTTTTTTTTTTTTTTTTTTTTTTTGAGACAGAGTTTTGCCCTTGTTGCCCAGGCTGCCACAGTGGTGCAATCTTGACTCACTGCAACCTCCGCCTCCTGGGTTCAAACAATTCTCCTGCTTCAGCCTCCTGAGGAGCTGGAATTATAGGCATGTGCGACCACACGCAGGTAATTTTGTACTTTTAGTAGAAACAGGGTTTCTCCATGTTGGTCAGACTGGTCTTGAACTCCTGACCTCAGGTGGTCTGCCCACCTTGGCCTCCCAAAGTGCTGGGATTACAGGCATAAGCCACTGCACCCCAAGTTTTGTGTTTTTTTGAGGCAGGGGTCTCACTCTGTCACCCAGGCTGGCATGCGGTGGCACGATCACTGCTCACTACAGCCTTGACCTCTTGGGCTCAAGGGATCCTCCCACCTTGGCCTCCCAAAGTTCTGGGATTACAGGAGTGAGCCACTGCACCTGGCCTTAATTTTTTAAAAATATGTCCTGGGGGCCGGGTGCGGTGGCTCAAGCCTGTAATCCCAGCACTTTGGGAGGCCGAGGCGGGTACGAGGTCAAGAGATCGAGACCATCCTGGTCAACATGGTGAAACCCCGTCTCTACTAAAAATACAAAAAAATCAGCTGGGCATGGTGGTGCGTGCCTGTAATCCGAGCTACTCAGGAGGCTGAGGCAGGAGAATTGCCTGAACCCAGGAGGCAGAGGTTGCGGTGAGCCAAGATCGCGCCATTGCACTCTAGCCTGGGTAACAAGAGCAAAACTCCGTCTCAAAAAAAAAAAAAAAAAGACAAAAATATGTCTTGGTTGGCACTTGGTGAATTCCTGGAGAATTCTCAGCAATTTTTTCTTTTTCTTTCTTTTTTATTTTTTATTTTGACATGGAGCTTCATTCTTATTGGCCAGGCTGGAGTGCTATGGCGGGATCTCAGTTTACTGCAACTTCCGCCTCCTGGGTTCAAGTGATTCTCCTGCTTCAGCCTCCCAAGTAGCTGGGATTATAGGCATGCGCCACCACACCGAGCTATGTTTGTATTTTTGGTAGAGCCGGGGTTTCACCATGTTGGTCAGGCTGGTCTCGAACTCCTGACCTCAGGTGATCCACTCGCCTTGGCCTCCCAAAGTTCTGGGATTACAGGCATGAGCCACCGCACTTGGCCCTCTCAGCGATGTTTTCTTTAGATGTTGCCTCTCTCCTCTGTTGTCCTCTTCTGGACATCCTATGATGTAGGTTGGAACCTCCAGGATTCACCTCTCAGATCTGTAACCAGCTTTCCTTATGCGGATGTTACACTTTTTGAATTGCCCCATGGTTCTTTTCCATTGGTTCATTTCGTTGTGCTTTTGTCTTTTCCTTTTTCTTCTTAATTATTATTATTATTTTTTAATAGAGACAGGGTATCACTAAGTTTGTCAGGCTGGCCTTGAACTCCTGGGCTCAGATAGTCCTCCTAAAGTACTCAGTCCTCCCAAAGTGCTCTGCCTCCTGAAGTGCTGGGATTATACGCATGAGCCACCATGCCTGGCCTCGTTTATTCTCTAAGATTTTCAGTGTGGGACATTTCTAGGGACCTATCTTCAGGCTCACTGACTATTTCCTCAGCCATGTTCAGTCCACTGCCAAGCCCATTGGAAGCATGCTTTCTTTTTTTTTTTTTTTTTTTTTTTTTGAGACGGAGTTTCGCTCTTGTTACCCAGGCTGGAGTGCAATGGCGCGATCTCGGCTCACCGCAACCTCCGCCTCCTGGGTTCAGGCAATTCTCCTGCCTCAGCCTCCTGAATAGCTGGGATTGCAGGCCTGCTTCACTGTGCCCGGCTAATTTTTTTTTTTTTTTTTGAGACGGAGTTTCGCCCTTGTTACCCAGGCTGGAGTGCAATGGCACGATCTCGGCTCACCGCAACCTCCGCCTCCTGGGTTCAGGCAATTCTCCTGCCTCAGCCTCCTGAGTAGCTGGGATTACAGGCACGCGCCACCACGCCCAGCTAGTTTTTTGTATTTTTAGTAGAG